TATAAGTGAAACTAGTAGAAATATTAGTATCACATGTAAAGGAACAATATCAAGTATAAACGGATCCTCAAGAAATTGAAGATCCATCATTTGACCCATTTTTTGTTTTACTTATAAATACACAAGGTCTAGTGCAGTACATTCGTAGTGGGAGAGAACCTTGTTAACTCTCAAGTTGTCTCTTGTTGAGTGATATTGATCCTACTAGTTACGATAAAGCACTAGAAGATGTTGTTGATCAAGTGTTGCTCAGGCTATGAACAATGAGATGAAATACTTGTATTTCAACTCTGTTCGGTCCTAGTAAAGACACCAAGAGGGGTAAAACCCACAAGGTGCATGTGGACATAAAAGGCAAAGAGAGGATGGACAGAAAGGTGAATACCTTTAAAGCTAGCTTGGAGGCATTTTTTGCCAGACGCCATGCTTGAGTCTATCCAGATTCTCTTAGTTGCTATAAGTCTCTATTATGAGATTTCATTTTGGGAGTTGGATGTCAGGATATCTACATACAACAACCAAGAGGGTTTATAGCAAATGAGTAGGAACACACGGTATGCAAGTTGTGAAAGTCTATTTCATAGACTTAAGCAAGCATCCAGGTCTTGAAACATCAGTTTTGATCAGGTTATCAAAATTTTGATTTTGAGAGAACCTTGATGAATGATGTGTATTTGTATGTAAAGGATACAACGGAAGACAGTAGCTTTTATGGTACTTTATGTAGATGATATGCTCCTTATTAGAAACAATGTGGAGGTAATATCAAGCATAAAGAGTTGGCTAAGTTAGTATTTTGGTATGGAAGTACTGGGGAAGCCAATTATATTCTTGGTATAAAACTCTTATGAGGCCGGAAGAATAAGTTGTTGGCATCACCTCAGGCTACTTACATTGACAAAACCCAAAATTCAACATGAGAATTCTAAGAGAAGAATTATAATTCTCAGATGTGGAATTCATCTTCCTAAGGAGTGACCAAAGACTTCTAAGAAGGAAGAATGCATGAGCAAGATATCTTATGCTTTGGCAAAGGTAGACTCACGCATATCACGTTGGGCGTTAAACCAGGCATCTGTCATGCAGTGGGAGAAGTGAGATAATATCATTTTGAACCTAGAGGAATACTAGATTATTGTTAAGCATGTACTCAAGTATCTTTGGAGAACGAGAGATTATATACTGGTATATTCTAGTGGGAGTCTTGAAAAGCTGAGTTTTCAAAAATTCAGTTATTTCAAGTGGATATTGACTCAAGAAAATCAACCTCGAGCTATGAGTTTTTCACTAAACTCAGATAGCATTAGAGGTGGATCTTGCAGACCCAGTTACTAAGAGTTTGCCTGAACTTGTGTTCGAGAAGCATGTTACTTCTTTGGGTCTTAGGAGGATCTCAGACTTGCATTAAGCAAGTGAGAGTTATTGGTTTCATTGTGCTCTTGGAGTAAGACGATGAAACAATAAAATAATTTTCTGAATTTCATAAATAAGGTTTTATTTATTTATTTTGCGCACTATTTACAAACATAAAGGTCCGGATCAAATTGTGGAGTATATGATCATATGGATACGTTCATGGAGGACATGATCATAGGTTCTCACAGTTGATGAATGGAGTCACAGCCGTTAAATAAAGTTGGACACTTTATTCAGGCTGCAATATTTTATGAAATGATTTTGTTCGAATCATTGTAAAATATTGGTGTGAATTAACATTCACATTGAAAGGATCAAGGAGAGATTTGATTAAGGTTGTTTTTCTGTCATAAGGTATCAAATCTCCAGTTAACTATAGTTATGTGATTGCTCTTAATCCTGAGTTTATTATAAATAGGTAATCAAATAGTTTTTATTCTTTGATTTACCAACGGGTGAGGTTCGATCTATTGACGGCCAATAACTCGGTATTTTGGGAGTGAGATTATTTGATTATCGTTATTTATGAGATAAACAACATGGAATTTGTAGGATATGTCCCCTTGATATGTTTTGGTACTTGGATATTAAAGACACTGGCCAGTGCATGTAATCCATTAGAGAAACTATCATAGTCAATGGAATAAATAATTGATTGAGTTACAGAAAACTTGTCAATCAATTATAGACATTCTACAAAGGGGCGATGCATATTCATTTTATAAAGGTCATTAATCTTGGAGTTCACGTTCGGGCTTTTAGTGGAGTAGTGCCGAATTAAATAATCTTTCAAAGATTATCAGGAGTCTTGATCAATGACAAATGGTAGGTCCCCAGGCTAGCTCGAGATAAGGGATGGGGTATATTATCAGATGATGATAGCTTATGGGCTACATGGCCTTGGGTTTACGAACTCAAGTTTGTATCTTAAAGAGCAAGTGGGAGATTGTTGGATATATGCTCTTTTGGTCACTAAAGTCCTATTGGGCTTCAGTGACACTTGAGCCCATGAGGCTTAGGGTTGAGTTATGTCTAAGACCTAAGCGTATATATTCATAGTTTTCTCCTCTTGTGCCTCCAAGGTGAACAGATCATCAGAAACAAACCCCAAGAGGCAGACGTTCATCATCTGAACGGTTGCCCACACAACCATCTCATCCTCCTCGAGAGATAGTCTGGAAGATCTGCCACAGTCCAGCTTCAAGGAGGTTGTTCGTGCTGCGGCGCTGAGGTGAGCTGTTCGTGAAGAGGAATCCTACAAGGGAAGATTCTACACGAGACCTGCGCACCGAGAGGTAATTGTGAAACAAGGATGATTCGGTAAGCATACCAATGTACTAGGTCCTAAACCGCTTCCACATAAATCTAAGATTTCCTACAGTTTCTTGATAAGATGAGCGAATGGATACATTTTGACTAAAGATAATGACACCATGAAACCACTTAAAGACTTCATTAGTTCATATGAATGTACCGTATTAATATAGAAGGTATGTACATAAGATTATTTAAAAAAAAAAACTTTGTCTTGATTGACATGAACACTGACCCAAAAATATTCTTATTGTATACGGCAATACTAAATAAAATTGTGTTAAATAGACATAATATGTGAACTAATACATTATTTACATTACTAAGGTTTAGGAAACTTATATATATATATATATATATATATATATATATATATATATATGGGAAAGTTATATTTACAAACTACACTAAGTATGACCGGTCATACTTAGTGTAGTTTATAAAAAAAGTTTGTAAACGGATCATTCCTTATATGTGTGTGTGTGTGTGTGTGTGTGTGTGTGTGTGTGTGTGTGGGTGATGATCATTTTTTTTTGGTAATCGGGTGAGGATCATTTTACATTGGTGTAAGTTACACACTCAATTTTGGCCTCTGATTTCATTTATATCTAACAGCTCTAATTTTTTTATTACATGAGCTATTGGATACTGTTAGAGAAGTATATAAATCATTAAAAAAGACATCACCTAACACAAGAGAGCCCATTGAGCTTGAGGGCATCTTTAATGGTTTTATATCTCTAACATGCACCCTTCACAAGATAGCCCATTGAATTTAAAAGGTGAATGATGCATCAGGCCCAAAATTATTGAAATAAGTGTTGGGTGAAGGCTTTTTTAAGGATTTATATACTTTTCTATCACGCCCTTTCACACGAGAGCCTACTGGTCATAAAGGGTGGATAATTGGGTGAGAGTCTTTTTAATGATTTTATATACTTTTAACAAATACAAATTGATCAATAATCAATATTAAGCGTAAGATTTCTTATTCTTAAAATTTCTGGCCCCTATATTGCTTGTATTGAACCCCTCACATATGGGACAACGACCATTTTGCCACCATTTTGGCAAAAATTTACCGAATTGCCATGCCAAGAATTTTTTTTGCCAAAATGTCACGTCACCAAACATGTTGCACTGTGCAGCGAGATCACGTGGCACTATGTCAGCAAGTTTAAGGCCACGTAATCTCGCTACACTGTGTAGCGAGATTACGTGGCAGAGCCTAATTTGCTGCATTGTGTAGTGTTTTATGTGATTTCAGTAACAATTTGACACGTGGATTAAGAGGACGAATAAATAGTAATTTATTTTGTTTTCTTTTTGACAAATATAATAAACAATAAAGACAATAATATAGTGTCCATGGAAAAACGATAAAGACAAATTAGTGTCCAATAAATGTTGATTTGCTTTTTGTTTTCTTTTCTGAAAAATATAATACACAATAAAGACGATAGAGTGTCCATGGAAAAATGATAAAGACGAATTATTGTCCAATAAATATTGATTTATTTTGTTTTCTTTTTGAAAAATATAATACACAATAAAGACGATGGAGTGCCCATGGAAAAACGATAAAGGCGATTTAATGTCCAATAAATGCTGATTCATTTTTTATTTTCTTTTTGTAAAATATAATACACAATAAAGATGATGGAGTGTCCAAAAGGAGTATTCATGGAAAAATGACAAAGACGATTTAATGTCTAATAAATACTGATTTATTTTTTATTTTCTTTTTGAAAAATATAATACGCAATAAAGACAATGGAGTGTCAAATGGAGTATCCATGAGAAAATGAAAAAGACAATTTAATGTCCAATAAATGCTATTTTTTATTGGTCTTCTCAATCCATGTGTCAAATTATTACTGGCGCCACGTAATCTCGCTACATAGTGCAGTGAATTAGGTTCTGCCACGTAATCTCGCTTCACAGTGCAACGAGATTACGTGGCCTTAAACTTGTTGACATGGCGCCACGTAATTTCATTCCATAGTACAGCGAGTTTGGTGACATGACATTTTGGCAATTTTTTTTCTAACGTGCCAATTTGATAAATTTTGCCAAAAAAGGTGGCAAAACAGTATTTGTTTCCTCACTTATCAATGTATTATATTTAGACAATTTTATTTGTTTGTGCAACAAATATTCAAACTCAAACCCCACAAAACCCTACATCTCAAATATTCAAAAACCAGTTATACCCCTTTTTCTCTTGTTACATTCCCAAAACCCAAAACATTGAAATAACTTACAATCAAATGTCCATAATCTCCTCTCCCTTCCCTTCCTGCTTCCGCCTATCCAAAACCACCAACGACGACCACCACCACCCGCCGCCGCTCTCCACCAACCCCAACCTCACCACCTACATCTACGACACCGACGCAGGCACCGTTTCCCTCACATGGTCCCGCTCCATTTTGGGTCGCTCCTTTCACATTCACCTCCCATTTTACTCCTCCTTCCACCTCCACATCAAGCCCTTCCTTTTCTGGAACAACCACGGATCCAAGAAGCTTTCCCACAACACCCTCATCTTCTGGAACCTTTCCAACGCCAGGTTCGGCTCCGGACCCGAACCTCACTCCAGCTTCTACGTTGCCGTCGTCGTTGACAACAAGTTGATCCTTCTCGTCGGAGATATCTCCACCAACGACGCGCACGCCAAGTGCAAAGCCCAAGAGCCCAATAACCGCCAACTCCTCGTGCTGAAAAGGGAACACGTTGACGTGGCAGCACATCAAAGAGTCGTGTACACCACGAGAACTCGGTCGCGTGGGAGAGAGATAGAGATAGAGATAGAGATAGATTCGGTTAGTTACGATAACAACTCGAGGCTGTTGTTCTGTGTGGACGGGGAAAAGGTGTTGGAGGTTAAGATGTTGAAGTGGAAATTCAGAGGGAATGAGAGAGTTGAAGTTGACGGGGTTTCCCTTCAGATCTCGTGGGACGTGTGCAATTGGCTTTTCGAAAACGACAACAATAATAACAGAAACGGCCACGCGGTTTTCATGTTCAAGTTCGAGGAAGACGAGGTACGAGGTAAGAGCTGGTCAGTGTCGTCTTGCGCAGGGTCTTTTGGTGGAAGTTCCTCTGTGATGGAATGGTCTAGTGTGGAGGAGAATGAGTTGGTGGTTCCGCTTGGGTTTTCTTTGCTTGTTTATGCCTCGAAAAGGTGATCACAAGAACATGGATCAATTGAATTGGTTTCTAGTTTGAGTACAGTTCTGTTAAAACTTGGTAAGCAGAGTTTTGCAGAACATATAATTCTATACGACTTGAATTGGATTTGTCCGATGAACCGATAATGTGAACACAGATTTAGCCATTTAGGTGCTAGTTATTGAATTTCTTTTATTATTAGTACTACTAACCAGTAAGAAAGTATAATTTAGAATACGGATAGGATATTGTAACAATTAATTAGTGTTACTACTAATATTACTACCAATTAATTTCACCGTTAGATTGATTATTTTGATCCAAATGGTTATATTTATTTCCATCTTTGTATGGTTATAATTTCGCATATTTAATGTGGAAGCATTAAATATGAAAAATCATAACCATACAAAGGTAGAAATAAATATAAAATATTAAATATGAGAAATTATAATCATACAAAGATGGAAATAAATATAATAGTTGGATTAACATAACGATCTAACGGTGAAATTGATTGGTAGTAAAATTAATTAGTTGTTACAATATCCTTTTCCTTTATAATATAGATTTTATTTTTATTTTTTGCTCAATAACACATTTGCTTGGTGAACATATAGAGAGGTTGAATAAATCTACTTAGAAAGCTTTTGAGAATGTATTGGCAGATCAAACAGATTTATTTTTCCTTGCATTTTTTCCTTCCACTTCGTTTATGGTTTTATGTGGAAATTGTTGTCTTGCAATGTAAATGTTTTTTTGGAATCATGTTTTGCAGTTATCATGCTATGAGAAACAGATTGGTTAAGTTAAGCATGATGGAACGAATTATTGTTATTGTTATTATTGTTATTGAAAAGCATGATGGAATAATGTTGGTAATGAATTTCTAAAGGAAAATTTTCTAAGAAAACATTATTATTGCTATTGTTGTTATTATTATTATCATCGGGTTGGGGGTGATTGGAATTGGACTCGTGATGTGCATGTTATATGTTCGACCAAATGACAGCGTGCGAGTTAGGATGTGTTTTTTTTCTTTTTCTTTTTTCTTTGGTTCAATTACAGGGAGTCATTTCAATTGAATGGTTAATATTTGGTCGACAGCACAACAAAGTGGTTGTTCTTATTTTCTTCCAAAAATAAAAACAAAAAGTTTTTGCGCCCAAAAAGAACAAGTTTCAGCTAAGGAAAAATAGCTATCTTCAAATTGTAATTTTGAAGACCCTGTAGAAGGGTTGGGAACAAGAATAAAGAGACTATTGGGGGTGCTTTATAGGAAACAGCAGAAGAAAATGGATGCGACCGAAGAGGCAGGGAGCAATTATTGTGGGTATTATTGTGTTTGGATAGAAAATTTGGCGGAGTAATTTATACTTCAAAAGATTTACATTTTTTTATTATAAAATAAGTTATTTGGACAATCAACACAAATTTCAAATGTTTTATGTGGGTATTTTATTATTAGAAAAAAAAATTAAAATTATACTTTAGTAGAGGAAATTTATAGAATTTATCATCTCTCTGGACACTCTCTCCTTGTTTGACTATGAATTAGGACTTTAACTTATCGCACTCGCGTGGAATGTTAGGCGTTTGATAAACCTACACGGTGATTGATGTTTCTAATATTTTGTTTAAAGCTGGCTTCGATCGCAGCAGAAGAGGATAGCAAAATCTTCAAACTCGGAACCATTTCGTGTCGCAAAATTTTGTGCTTTTGGTTGCTTTGCAGTTACATTTGCAGCCGGAGTTCCGCACCGAATGTGTAAACGAGTTAACAATAATTTTATAAACCGAGAAATGTACACGATGAAGCAAAATCGTTTTCTGAGATTTTAACTTAACCAATCAGTTACACTTTTGTACTGCTTCACTACCATGAATTCTAAACTAGTAAAGAAGTCCACTATACGATGAATTGCACTTGCGTGCTCGATAAGTAGTAAGTACCACTCAGTATACACCTGAACATTAAAAAAAACGACTGTTAAAAAATTTGTACACTCTAGCGCAACATTGGACCCTATACTTTTTACAAGAGTCGGGACAATTTGATGGAAGGCTGTTCATGTTGAAAAGTACAAAGTATATGTACTATGTCATGAAGTTCAACTTTTAAATTGCGAACTATTAGTTGAATTATATAAGAACGGGGCACGTTAAGTTTACAATTTTTTTTTATTCAGAACTCTTACGATCTCAATTATGTAATATGGGGAATACACTCTAAAGTATTCGTATTTTTTGAAGTACATAATTGAGATTGTGAGAGTTGTAAATAAAAAAAAGTTGTAAACATAAGTACGTAACCCTTTCCTATAAGAATATATTAATATTATTGTTTACAATATATACACTAATATATCGAGAATAAATTATACCTATAATCATATATATGTATATATAGGGTTTATCATTTTTCCATATGCTTGAGATAATTTTATCTTCAGCTACTAATGGTGTGCATGACAACCTTTCCGAAATCAATTCTTTTTTAATTTTTGTTCCCGTGAATAGAAATTGATAGGAAACTCGTTTGGTAAAACCGATTTATTTTTTGTTCCCAGGATGAACCAGTTTAATTTTTGTGCTGGGGAACACAAAAAGAATCAGAAAATTTTTGTTTTTTTGTTCCCGGGCACAAAATGAGAAACACTTATCTCTCTAATCACTTTCCACCTCTACCATCATCACCACCACCACCACTACCATCATCCTGACACGACTACCGCCACCATCATCGCCGCCGCCAACGTACCACTAGTGCCGTCATCACCATCCCTCACCACCACAATGCCATCGCCACCATTACCACCATCACTACCACCAGGCCACCGTCACCACCACCATAACTATCACCGCGGCAACCGCCAGCACCACTATCACTGTCACCGTCACCACCACCATTACCACTACCGTCATCAACCACCACCACCATCATCGCAACTAAGTTGCCGTCACCGCCACCATCGCCATCACACGCCACTGCCACCAACCCCATCGCCACCACTACCATCACCACGACGCCACCACTACTATCACCACCACTGTCACCAACCACCACTACCATTACCGCAGCCACTACCGTCACCACTATCACCATCGCCGTCGCCACCGCCACCAACAACCACCACCATCGTCACAGCCATTACCTTCACCACCACCACTATCGCCACTATTACACCACCCCTGCCACTACCATCACCACGTCATCGCCACCACTACCACCACCACTGTCACCTACCTCCACCGCTGCAGCCACTGCCACCACCATGATGCCTTCACAACCACCACCATCATGCCATTGCTACCATTGTTGCCGCCACCAACCACCATACCCACCACCATTGTCGTAGCCACTTCCGTCACAACCACCACCACCACTATCTTCACCATGTCACTGCCACCACCACTATCATACCGCTGTCGCCATCGCCACCACCACTATGTCACCCGCCGCCACCACCACCACAACCACACCATATGAAAAGGAAAGTGATGATCTAATTTTTTTTATATTTAATAGGAATTATTTTTTATTATATTATTTGTTGTGTTATCAAACACAATTCTCATTCTCAGAATAAAAATAGAACATGTTATCAAACACATTTTTTTCTCAGAAACTATTCTAAGGCACAGAAATAGAAAAGAATTGTTTCTTTGCAGAAACAGTGCTAGGAAATAGAATGGTTGTCATGCACACCCTAAATCATAACCGTACAAAGATGGATCAATGGTGATAAAGAAAGAGAGAGAAAAGGGTAATCATAACCATTCAAAGGTGAATCAATTAATATAAGAAAATTAATAAAGAAAACGATGTAGCTTTGGGGTGACTGAAGATAAATATATCTCAAGCAGCTTGAAAAATATTTTTCTCATATATATATATATATATGTGTGTGTGTGTGTGTGTGTATTGGACGTCCAGCAATAAATCTTACACTGCTGATTAATTATGATTCCTCGCATTTAATGCTTTCACCTACCTTTGTATGGTTATGATTCCCCGAATTTATTTGATGGACGTCAAACGGATAGAGAAAAGTAAAGTCACATATATATATATGGCTTTAATGTTTCTAAAGTGAATGTAGATAAGTTATCTACATCCGCTCCCAAAACGACATCGTTTTGGGTTGAAAGATTAAAAAATTATAATGAAAAAGACTATTATAGCCCTGAAATAAATTATAATTACAAAAATACCTTGATTTCCGCCTCAAAACGACGTCGTTTTGGGCTCACTGTAGATAAGTTATCTACATTGACTGTAGAAAAAGCGAACTCTATATATATATATATATAAAGTGTTTGTAATTTTAAATAACATAAATTTATGTCATTTTAAGAAAGAGATAGACACAATATTTTTTTATTTAAAATTTAAATTAAAAAAAATCACTCATTTTCTCTCCCATGATTTTCATTCCTTGTGTCTATATCTCTGCTAAAATGACATAACTTATGTCATTTAAAATGACAAACATCAAACTCATATATATATATACACACACATATATATTTGGGTTTAATATTTTTCATGTTGTAGGAGATAAATTTTATCTGCTACACATGTATAAAAGTGTATGGAACCCATATTTTCTCATTCTCTCTATTTTCCTCACATTGGCTCACACGAGCCCCACATATTTTTTTTGTATGTTGGAGAAAAATTTATTTCCTACAACATGCGAAACATTAATCTCTTTATTTTGTCCTATCGTATTTTATCTAAGAAAGAAAGAAAAAATTAAATTTATAATAACTGTTTATTTAAAATACTTTATCGTAAGTTCATGAATTGATATTTATCATTCACTGCATGTTAGTGATTACCTTATTAATTAAGAACCTGCTTACTATAAAGACGAAAACAAATCTCCTTAGTGTGATCAGATTTCTTACAATGGTTGTACCAACATCTGTCTCACTTAGGTGTAGAAAAGGTAGAAGGTGAGCCTTGTTTAGTGGACTTATGGCAGTTGGCATCTAACATGATTGCCCCCGC